ACCAGGTACACCTACACTCATAGAGACTACACATGCAAGTAAACTAAACTAAAATAGAGTAACTGATACAGTCACTAGAGATTCAGTATCAATTCAACTCCCCCAGAGAGTCCTGGAGATTGGAGAAAAAGTGGTCAATGAACCCAGAAAAAAATAGATTGACTGATCAAATTGGTCATGAAATGTTCCTCAATTCTTTTATTATTTTTCTGTTTTAAAGAAACCATAAAATTCTCAAAGACTTCATTAGCAAACTACCAACAACACTTACCCCAAATTTCTGTCTTATTCTGAACTTTGAACATTAAACTCCCCTGCATGAATGTAAATAGTATTTTTTATTTATTTACTTGAGTAATTTGAGACTTACATAGAAAGGGGAAAATACTAAGGAACTAGAGATACTTTCTAAACAAAATCTGTTTGTCTTTTTTTTTTTTTCCTATTTTTTTTTTTTTTTAAGGAAGGTCAAATTTCAAGAAAAGCTGGTGCTTCACACTGCATGAGAGTTCTAACCACAGCTGCCTCCCGGCAATTCTAAAACAGTAAGATCATCATGAGGGCAAGTTCCAGAAGGGATTTCAGACTGTCTAGTCCATCACTTGCTTTAACTTAACAGAAACTTTTCAAAAACCCATTCTCTTTTAAGCATGTCCAGATAAGAAGTGCTGTGCCTCCCTTGGCATCTCACCACAATGGTGGTCACTCAGAGGACAGCTCCCATAGATACTTCCTAAACTCAATCATACTGGCTAAGACATAAAGATGGAAGGTTAGCAGAATCATTCTCTCCATGACCACAATTCATTGAAGACTACCTTGACACTCACTGCAAAAATTTTAAAAGATTTTTACACGCACTATTTTTGGAACTTTAGATTCACCTTATCATCATTACCTGTCCCTGTGAGTGTCTGCCACCGCAGAAGCAGCCTGCCTCCACCGCCAAAGCAGTTGTATCATCCCCTGTAGCCATGTGCCTTTCCACCGTCAGCTATGTGACATATGCACCCTTTAAAAGTGCCCGCCAGGCATTTTTGCCTCTAGTTTCTCTTGCCTCTTACTCCTCTCCTTGTCTCCTTTCCTCTCTTGCCTGTTGCTCCTCTCTCACCTCTTCTTCCTCTTGTCTGTCTGCCTCTCTGGAGACCCCACCCTGACATGGCCTTTCACTCTTCCGCTCTTCCCCTCCCCAATTAAGCCTCTTGCACTAACTCTGCTGTGCATGATGTGTTTGCTTATTAGTGGCATACTTTGGCAAAGCCTACCGAAAGGTACCCATTATCACCTTTTCTTTTTACTTATCATTTCAATCCCACTTTCACATATAAGAAAAGTTAGGACCAACTACAAAGAAACTAAGATTTCTTCTGAACTATGAAAATCTCAAGATGGTTTAACTTTCCCATGCCTGGAGTCAAAAGCTGGCATATACTTGTCACAGTACACAGCTGTTACTGAGTCACCAGCCTCTTTGATCCCCTTCCCATCTTGTAACCCAGAGTAAGTTCAGAATAAGAAATTGTATTTTAGGGAAAATGCGAAGTAAACTCAGAGGTCTTGCATCTACCAAGAATTCACATGTCATTTCATGTTATAAATTGACAGTGTACTTTTGCAATAGAGATTTGTGAGCTGAGCCAGAATCATTTTCCTCCTTCCACTCGCAGTACCCAGATGTCCCCCAGGGACTGTCAATCACATTGACCAGACTTCCTTCCTCTGTCTAAAGAACTAGCAAAGAATCCAAGCTAGGCCAATACAATCCTTTCCCCAGGAATCTTGAGTCTGAAGTGAGTGATGAAAGACTGAAATTGGCTGATTTTCATCTCTCCCAAGGCCAGCCGTTCAGCTTCTTAGGCCTGCTGTGAGCTCACACCTTCAGAAGTTTTCTTCCTACATTCTGCTTCTGCAGCTTGCAATTCTTTGTCTCATCTGACTTTTCAGAGAGACAAATTAAAATATATGTCTGTTAGTTCTGTTTACAGGTGGAAATAATAGTTCTGTTTATATAGGTGGAAATCCCTACAGTGCAATCAGCCCATGATAATTCTGTGAACTAAGAAAATGCCCTTGTATTGTTGGTTTTCATTTTATTTGTTTATATTTTTTTTAAAGTAGCAATTTCTTATTCAGTTGATTGGAGGCAGGAACACAGTGATACAGCCTTCAGAATTTTGGCTACTTTTTCTCGGAAAATAGCTTTGAGGATCTTGAGGGTTTTTAAGTAAATGCAAAAATTTCAGAATAATTTAAATGGGTTTAATGTGGCCCTCTCCATTTTTAACAAATGTGTATGACTAGGTGTGGGTATGCATGTGTTGTGGGAGATTTTAACTGAATTCTGATACTCTTGAGACTGCCAATAAGTTTAACCTTGAATCGGAGGGGCAGAGTTAGCAACTGGCTGATCAGAATTAGCCATAGAAGTTTTGGAAGACCCAGGATACATATAGAGAGAAAAACAAAGTAGTAGGGAGGGACTTAGAAGTATTCAAAGGCCCTTTTGAATCAAGAAGGAGGGAGATGAGAGGTCACTGGTTGCTTCTCTGATCAATCAGGTTTTTACCCATATCTGACTCCCCAATTTTTATTGATAGAGGAATAACTAGATAAATGCTTCATGCATGCACATATGCAAGAGTGTGAAGGCCAGAAGACAGACAACCTTGCTACCACTCTCAGGGTCTCTCATTAAGCAGAAGCTTGCCAATTAAGCTAGCTGGCTGGCTAATGAGCCTTAAAGATCCTCCTGTCTTTGCCTCTGCAATGCTGGGATTGCATGCCTGTGTAACCATGCCTCAGTATTTTCTCCTGGAGTCTGAAGCGTGAACTCAGATCCTCATGATTGCAAGGCAAGAGCTTTACTGACTGAATCATCCCCCAAACCTACAGAGCTACCTTCCTGGGACATGTCTTCCTTGTTCTTAGGCACAAGGCAAGTGTTTTACTGACTGAATCACCCCCCACCCCCACCCCTAGGAAGCTACCTTCCTGGGACATGTTCTTCCTCATTCTTAGACACTGTAATTCTGGTCATCTTACTACCCCTCCTCTCAGAATGAAAAGGAAAAGCAGATGTCATCCTAACAAAGTCCTCAGGTACTCAGGCAAAGAGGACTGTAAGTAGACAAGTAGACAAAACCAGACAAATAAGTCTGGTCATCAGAACTTCAATACTAAACTTAGAAACCATGTAAGGCTGAGAATCCCTTGTCAGAAATACTTATACCAGAAACATTTTAGAGTTTCGATGTTTTTGATTTGGTAACATATGCATACATACAAGTATCTATCAGATGGGACTTTAAACAATGTCATTTCTTTTTCATTGTATGTACATAGCATGGTGGAAATTTTACACAGTTTTTTTTTCTGTTGTTGTTGTTGTTGTTGTTGTTTTAAGTAATTTTACTGAGTTTACACGAGGGACCAGCAAGAAGGCTCAGCAAGTAAAGGCACTTGCCATATATACTGACAACCTGAATTCAATCCCTAAGGACTCACTTGGTGGGGAAAGAGACTGATTCCTACAAGCTATCTATCCTTTGCCCTCTACAATGCACCATAACATTTGAGATCTTAGATTTTTCAGATCAGGGATGCTCAAAATTTAGAACAAAAGGAAAGATGGAATTGTAGTACAAGATGAGTCCTCAAATGTCATTTCATGTAACTATACCAAACTGGGTGCTTTTCTCTTGCAGAGACTGGCAATGGGACAGACTATAAATACTTTTACACTGTCTGATACCCTGACTTGACAGTTCACAGAAATCACAAATCAGCTGCAAAGGGATACCAGGTCCCCCTGCCTGGAGTGCTCTACTTAATGAGCAAAAGCCTCAGCTTTGTTTCTGACATGTTGGGGAAAATATAACCAAAGAGCATGCTTGCTTCCTGCAAGGTACCCTGCAATCTGACTGAGGAGATAATGCATGCACACATGAAGCAACCACAATAGGAATACAGGAACAACACCAACTGCCAAATCCAGACCTTCTTCTCCAAACTGTAACTTCAGACAATTCCCTAGCCACGCTAACTCAAAGGCAGTAGGCTGCTTCCTTTTTATTAACAACCAAATTCTAGACCAAGACAGAGAATGTAATCAAAAGAGCCTATCTGTGTAAGATGATGGAAATCTACTCTTTTAGAAAGAATTAAATAATGAAGTAATCTCATGGTTGACACTTTGCATAAGCAAGTTTTACTAAATGACAATCTTCTTTATCATTAGCTATGAACACTTGTATTCGGAGAAAGGACAAGATGATATTTATAAATAAACAACTCTAGATCACTGTGTGTTCAAAAGAAATCCTAAAACGTGTTCACTCAACTTAGGGTGGTTAGAAAGCAGCTCACCAATATATAAACAAGCTTATTTAGGAAAAAATTCCCCAATACAAGATAATGGGTACCTATACTCAAGAAAAAAATTAATCTTGGTTTGGTAAAAGTGTGCACAACTTACTGCAATTTATTACAAGCTGCTTCCTGAGTTTGGAATCCTTAGAATAGAGTAAGGCTTATAAAAAGACACACAGTGCTATGCCATCTGGTCCACAGCTTCTTCCATAGCCAGAAAAACTTCCCATTCAATGAAGTAACACTTAGGCAATATCAAAGGAAATTCCAATAGTGCTGTGGCATTCCAAAAGCTAGAAGCAATTTTGCAACTGTGAACAATTTCCTAGTATCAAACAGGCCAGATAGTTGGTTAGGTTACCTTTTGCTTTATAACATATACAAGTCAATAAGGTGGAGAGTGATAGAGGAAGCATGGACCTCTGGCTTCCACAGGAAGCACTTGGGCACCCTTGCATACACAGAGGGGAGGCAAAAGGGAGAGGAAGAGAGGAGAGGAGAGGAGATGGGGAGGGGGCACAGGAAGGAAGGAGAAGGGAATGAGTGCATTTCTAACACCTACTGTCCATTCTAGAAGTGCTAAGCCACCATTCATGAACCACTATGCCAAATGTCCCAATGAGTTCACTTACCTTATTGTGCTCATACTTGTATGGAATCTTGAGAGTGTCCATAGCTCTAATCATGGCCTGCATGGCGGTGAAGATGTTCTGATACACCAGTTTGGTAAAGCCCCTCTTGTCTTCATCAGAGTATCCGGAGCCATGGATGATCCTCATCTGCTTGATGAAGGTACTCTTGCCGCTCTCTCCTGTCCCTGGAATGGAAATGGCAGCAGCACATTAGATCACAACTAGGAAATTGCCTAGTTTTGCAGCCCCCAAAAGACCTGCTGAGAGAAGCAGCCATACAAAGCCTACCTACAGAGGACACTTAGAAAATCAGACCAGTGACGATCCATTTCAAAGGCAAATGAGCTCAAAAGCTATTCGAATCTTAGGAAACACCTGAGCATAAATCTACCAAACACCATTTGTAACCCTACACCTTTGAGAAATAAGCGCAACTGCATCACAGGACAAGGGAAAAGAACTGAAACTTGACAAAGCCCTTTCCCTGGGCATATCTGAAATGCATCCGGCACTCTGGAAATAGTGATAACATTATACTGAAACACTTCAGAAATAAACAAGGGAAGAACTAAAACCTAAGACATTTTACTCCAGTCTGGAACTGGGGCAAAATAGGCAACAGATTCCTGTTAGACCAGAACACAGGTTATACTCTGGACAACAGTATTCACAGTGTTTATTTCCAGGGCCTGTCACTCATGAGAAACAACAAATTACTGTTAGTACATGTTTTTCTTCTCTTCACCATCTTCAATATACATTTTTAAATTTAAAACTGTCACATTTCTGAACACAAGTGCCTTTGTCCTGTCCTTTTCCACTCCCCAACAATGTAAAGAACATAAAAAAAAAACACTATGAATATTTAAATATGAAAGAACAGAATGAGAAGTGACAGCCTTCCTCCCAACAAGTCTGCTAAGAACAGGAAGAGAAGGAAAAAGGGAGCGAGGGAGGGAGGGAGGGAGAGAAGGAGGGAGGGAGGGAGGGAGGGAGGGAAGGAGGGGGAGAAGGGACTAAGCAAGAACTGCAAATGCACCCTCATTCCATTCTGCTTTTCTGATGCTTATAGACTTTATTACTATCTTCATAAACGATCAAGAAAATTCAAATAAATACTAAATTTTTTTACTGAAGTGTCTTAACTGTCAGGCAATACAGAACCCTCAGACGTTACAGTGGAAGGTGCTTCTGGACCCAGTGTTCTACTCTAGGTGGTTTGTTTACTTATTTATTTCATGTGTATGGTACCATGCACAAACATGTGTGTTGAGGCCCAACGTGGATGTCAGGGATTGTCTGCTCAATCTCCTCCATATTCACTGAGGCAGGTTCTTGCAATTGAACCCAGAGCTCACAGATTTCACTAACATAACTAGCCAGCCTATTCTAAGGATCCCTTCTCACCTTTGGGGCCTCGAATTTACAATTTACTAGGAGTAGGGATCTGAGCACCAGTCCTCACACTTGTGTAGCTCAGGCTGTATACACTGAGCCATGTCCCCAGACTGCCCTATGACTTTTAATGGGGTGATATAGAACACCTTGAAATATAAGCTTTCACACTGAAATGTGAAAACTAGTTCACATTTACGTGGTGTTAATTCAAAAATTATAATGCCCACCACAAATACCAAATATCTGAAAATGTTTATCTCCAGTAAAAATGCAGCCACAAATTAGTAATTTTTATTATTAATCTACATTTTATAGATTTATTAATTATATTCTACATTATTAATCTACAATTTATAGAAACTAGTACCATTACTTTCTTAAGCAATTAAAAAGATACAAGAAAAAAAAAGTTTAAGATATTTGCTTTTTATTACTGTCCCCATCCAAGGACTTGTTCTTGAAGGCAGACTGTAGACATGACCATCATAGCTCTGCCAGTCCTTTATACTACAAAAATGGCAGAGATTTTTCTTTTAGAGAAAAAAAAAAGTGTATACACGTGTGTGAATGTGTTTATGTACATGTGAAGGGAGTGCCCAAGGAGGCCAGATATTTCCTGGGAGTTGAATTCAGATTCTCTGTAGGAATATCAAGAGCTAAGAGCTCCTAACTACTGAGTCATCTGTTCAGTGCCAAAGATTTTAATTTTTAATGATGTGTTGGGGGGTGGGTTTGTGTTTGTGGGTGGATGTAGATGCCGAGGGAGGCCAGATGAGGGAGCCAGGTCACATGGACCTGAAATTATAGACAGTTATGAACCACCTGACATGGGTGCTGGAAACTGAACTTGGGTTCTCTGCAAGGGCAGCATGTGTTCTTAACCCACCACTGAACCATCTCTCCAGCCCCAAGAGATCTTAATTTGTAAGATTTATGAAAAGGAAAAAAGCAAAGAGAGTCAGGAAGTAGGGCCCTTTCCTCTTGGTCATTTGAAAAATCTTTACATGATTACCCTTTAAATAAAAAGATAAACAATTCATGAAATATGAGCTACACTGGCTTGTGTTTCTTTAGATCATTTTAGGCAAGAGCAGCCAATATTTGTCATCTCTTTGGATATATTCCTAGAGCCCTTAAAATAATAATAATAATAATAATAATAATAATAATAATAATAATAATAATAATAATTACATTGATAATTTAATACAATATTAATAGATTATAATTTATTATATGCTTGTTTATTTAATATAATTAATATTGATGATGATGATGATGATGATGATTTCCTATTGCCAGAAACAGAACCAGGGCTCCTTTCCCCTTCCCATATTATTGGGTGCTACCCTGAGAGCTGCCAGGCACAGGTTTCATGAACATCCTGGCCTTTGACTTACACTTACAGCTTAGCCAAAACAAGACAGAGGCAGCAGTGAGAAAGCGGGAGTCACAGTCCTACAGTAACTACTCAAATGTGCAATGGCCCCCTCACCAGACCACAAGCTACTGTTAAGTAGTCCCTCCATATGGCTTTCCTCTCTTGAGATTTTGTCTCTTACTAGCCCTTCCTACCTACATCTGGCCCACACTTTTATAAATCGCTCCTCAGTTACTGAGTGGAAGTGTGTCAAATGGTTGTGGCCAGAACTGACTACAAACCTAAAGGAAAACAGAGGACAATTAAATGATGGACAGGAATTGCTCTAGAAGCTTTTCTATGAGTTACTCTCTGGTTTGTCAAGTACAACATTTTCAGCACTTCAATCTCAAGACACTCTTCTGAAGGTCAACTGTGATGAAGAAAACCCAGCTAAAATGTGAAAAAGCTCAAACCAGAATTCCAGGCTTGAGTCTCCCCTCAGCACTAAGAAACATAGTAATTAATTAAACCTATTAGACAGATGGTGTGCATCTGTACACAGAACCCCCCTACATTCATATTCTCTCTCTCTCTCTCTCTCTCTCTCTCTCTCTCTCTCACACACACACACACACACACACACACACACACACCACAAAGGACACAGTGATTTGTGCTTTCTGGCACCTCTTTTGTAAACAAAACAAAGAAATTTGTACACATCCTTTATACTTTACCAAGCACTCTTGAGACACGCTAAGTTCTGTCCTGTCAAACGTCACTGATATGGATGTCTGAATCATCATCCTACTGCCCTGCTATTTTTTGCTACACCAAACATCTCCCATCAATCATAGAATTTAATAATATTTAACAAGCAAGACAACATTCAGCAGGATGTGAGACCCATGAGAAACCTGCTTTCTCCTTCAGTAATTCACAATGAACATGGCTAGAAAATGTCCCTATAAGCATTGCTTGTATATTCAGGAACATACTCTGCATTTCTTATACTAGCTCCTCCACATACTCAGACCTAAGAACCATGCTATATATTAAAAGGCCATTTCATCTAGCATTTATAAGTGGCTGCAAAGAACACTATGCTTTTTCTTCTCCACTCCCTGAATCAGGATAAAGAACACAAGAGTATTCTCTACTTCACTCAGCATCACTTGTCATCAGAACAAACATTAAACACACATTTAACACCCTACAATGGAGTACATGGCTTGGTAGGATGATATATATATATCACACACACACCCCTCTCCTACCCTCAATGTTCACAGTTTGGGTTTTATTAAGATCTTTTCAACACAACCAAAACCTACAGAGTCTGCCACAATTCTTAATTTTTTCATCCAATTCACAGGAAGCATTCATACACTTATGCTAATTATTCTGCCAATTTGCATGATGTGATCTGCAAATGGTTTTGTCAAAAATGACTTTCAAATCTAATCATGTATTATCTGAAGGGTCATGAATTAGCATTTATTACTGAAATGCAATCATAGATTTAGTGGTTTGCTCTCCCTAATTAGCATTTTTGTTGAACTCATTGGTTCTGTCTCACACTCAGACTACCTTCTGTACTACTCTCTTATAAAAGAGCAGCCAATGCACAATCACACACCCACAAGCATTCCTCAATGCTCTGAAAATGCAGCTCCTACTGTGCCTGTTCTCAAGAACTTGGTGCCCATATACACACAAGGATCCAGCAGAACAAACACTGACATTACCAAGAACCCTAACACTCCAGCTATTCATCTTCCACCCTCAGAGAAAAACCGGAGACACCTAGGAGGACTTCTCAACAGGCTGAAGTCCATCCACACCACTTCTAGGGGTTTTTAGATTCTGTAGATAAAAATGCCAAACACAGTCAGGAAAACTGTAGTATTGAAGACTGTACAGTGAATACATTCATTCCATACTGTCAGGGCCTTCCTTGACTGTATTTAGAGATTGTGAAGTCTACATCTAAAGCCCTAGAATGAATATTAAGGCTGAGGCCAAATATCCCGACCCCACCCTCCTAATTGGCCAGCTCCCAGGTAAAGAGAGAGAAACAAAATGCAAGGCTCATGAAGCTGAGTTACAAGCCAATGAATTGTTTCAGGTCCACTGGGATAAGCCAGGAATATAAAGCATGGAATCTCAGGCCCAGCAAGCCGAACTTGAGCTACTTCCATGTAAACTTGGACAAAGTAGAGCCAGATACTTCAAGGATGAATTTCTAACAAGGAGCATATTACCCACCCACAACCTGGGAAGAATTAATGGAAAACAGTAAGATAAATGTGGTCAAACTCTGAGTCAAATGCAATCCGTGTGTTGTCCACACTCCAGGCAAACTACTTGGAAATGTACATTCCGCCTTCAGTGTTTGCTCCCCTCACACAGGGAACCTGCATT